AATAACTTGTCCTGGGTGCTGCACCACTGGAGGTGGATAGAGCGCGCCTCAGGTCGTCGACGCGCACAGTCGAGCGCATAGATGAGGAGCTGTTGGGTGTACCACCGGGACTGCGACTGCGGTTTGGTGAGGAAAGACGACCTGCCAGACCATAAGCGGCGGATGGGGGTCTGCTCTGCGCTCGCCTGGGACTGGGGGCAGGGGAGCTCGCATTGCTGTCAAGATTTCCGTGCGGAATGTTGACACCAAGAAAGTTATTCTTGGTGTAGTGAGTCCCAGACTTGGACCCAGAGATGGATGCAGATGTAGAGTCTTTGGAGTGGCTTGCCAGGCACTCGTCACGAGACCATTGCGACATGAGATCCTCCCGGACTTTGAATGATAACTCAGGGGGATCCCTAGGCACCATTGGCTGGACTGGTTGATGGATTGCTGGAATTGAGCCGTTTGCAGCCCCTCCACGGCTAGGCGACCCTGGGGGCGAAGTAGGCGGAGAATGTAGGGAAGTCGAATAACCTTCCGAGATCTTCTCAACAAGTGCTTCTAGATTGTCAAAGGGCCTGAGGGCCTCGTTTTGGACAATTTCCGGAGGCACTGCAACCGGTGTTGGGTGTGGCGTTTCAATCAAATGGATGGGCATAGGCGGAACGTTGATGCTCTTCATCCATAGACCCTTCTGGTTTCTACGCGTAATCTCGTTGTGCAGTGCGCGACCGACAGAAGAAACCTCAAAGTCTAGAGCCGCACTGAGTGCCCAGAGGTAGCCATGCACCAGACTCCCTATGCGCAACTTGGCACCGGGATCTTCTATAGTTGTGATATCCTCTTGTAGTCGCATGATCATTGGCAACCCGCTTCTTGCAGCGTTGACGCCTAACCGGTTGACCAAGGTGGTGAGAAGGAGGTGCAGAAGCAAGTAGTCGGCTTCCGAGTCAATGAATTGATGCGCATTTTCATACACAGCCAGATGGAGTAGAGGCAGAAAGGTGTCCTTGCCACGCTTAGATACCCTCTCCCTCGTAGAAGCGTTCGAAACCGCTCGTCTAGACAGTGAATTCTTGTCGTTATCTTTCTCCTTCCGTCTGTAGTTCTCTACAATCTTCAGGTCTTCCTTATCCTTCTCGGTATTCAGCCAGGTGACTAATGCGTCGACATAAGCCTTTCTGACTCGGCCACTGGGGTCGCGCAGCAGCCACTGTGAGCCTTCCCACACACTGACACCAACCTTGCTTCGCGACACCGAAGCTGAAGAACCGTCCGGTTTCCGCGCGTTTGCCCTCTTCAATATGGCCTTGACAGCGTCGAGAGCCGTGATGCGAGCTGTCTCAAATGAGAAGAACCGGTCAACATGAGTCTTCTCTTGCATGCTGATTGAGTCTGCAACAGCCTCCACAGCGCCTTCAGGGTTCTGTATCGCTTCGGCCGTAGTAGAAATGGCCGAGAGACGCGAGGGCTTGAGGCGACTCAGGATTGCTTCGACCATGTCTGAGATTTGGTCTGTATAGTACACGTGGGTTGCAAGATCTGCCATACATTTCTGTACAGTGTCTAAGAGCTGCAACCTTGCGCCTGAGGGCTTCTTCACGACTTCCATGACGACACCATCCACATTGCTTGCGGATGAATTCTTACTTTCATCTTTTTCAGACATGATAGAAGTCGTCTGCTGATGATGCGGCAAGATGTTCGATCCTGGCCCACCGAGCTGTAACAGTAATAGAGTGTGCGAGATGAACCCTACCAGCACATCCATGACACTAAGGCCGATGAAGTTGATGGGTGAGGCAAGAAGATAGTCAATGACAGTGGCGAGCACCAGTTGTCGCTCAAGATCCTCCTCCACGATTGGGCTGCGGACCAGGGCTTCAACTGCTCCCACGAGAATCGTGTATCGGTCTTGCACAGGCACCCACACACAGATCATGGCCATGAGCGTCGTTGCCCAGTGACTGCTCTCGCTTGGCGGGACCTCTTGTTGGCTCTTGACGTGTGTGCTTATAAAGTCGAGAACGGCGGATGTCGCCAGCCGGAGCTGACCGCGATTCACCCCTTGGAAGATGCTCCTTAGCGCCTGTAGCGCGAGCACGCCAACCTCCTCTTCAGCCAGTTTGTCCGCGTCTTCGGTTGTTCCGGATGCGGCGATTGGGTCTCCGTCTTCGTCGTCGGTTCGCGCTGTGGATACGCTCTGTCGCCGCCGTGTTGCGGTTTCCTTGTCGTGTTCGCCCTGGGCGGCTTCCCGGATCTCGAGCTGCTTGAGATATGCGCCGGTCTCTGCATGTATGTTTGCGAGTATGACTGGTATAATGACGGCCAGCTGGCGCCCCGTCTCTGACCCCAGTGACTCAGACGAGGCCACGGCCTTGAGCGCCTGCAGGCCAACCTTTCGGTGTCTGATAGCCACAGGCCAGCTCACGGCGTCTTTGCCCGTCTTGATGGCATCTTTGGACGCAAACTGAGCGTATAGCTGGACAATCTCCTCGTACTTCTTAATGTAGTCCTGGTCGGCAGCGAGAGCGGCGGGGTCTTGGTGGGCGCATAGTGCCTCGAAGGTCGGGACTGACTCCTCGACCATGGCCAAGTTGTTCGAGTTGAGGATGGTGCGCAGGATTTGCAGGACAGAGCCAGCGTAGAGCGGGAGGTCGCGCGGGCACTTTTCAATCACCGTCTTGACAATCTGCAGTGTGACTTGGACATTGCCAGTGCGGACTTTCCACACATCCTTGGTGGCCTTCTTGTCGAGGAAGTCGACAACCTTCTGGAGCTTGCTGCGGCGTGTGCTCGCATAGTAGAGCAGGTAGCTCAATTCGCTCGAATTGGCCTTGGCGTCTGCGTTGTTCTTCAGGACCTTGGGGTAGCACTTGAGGACCAGGACTTGGTGCTTTGGGCGGCACGCCTGACGTGCGGCGTTCATTGAGCCTCAGGCGCACGAGGGCGAGGTTGCGGGCTCGAGGCGACGTGTTGGGTGTGCAGCGAAGGAGGCGCGGAACACGGCGGCGGTGGCGGCGGTGGTGGTGATGATGATGACGACGGAGGACGGAGAACGGAGGACGGAGGTCGCGGGGAGGGGCGGTTGTTTAGGGATATTGGGCCTCGCTCGACTGGATGGCGCGCGTAAGGGGAGTGGAGGTCTAGGGCGAGAGCATTGTCTGACACCAGACAGGACACGACAGGACGAGACTGGTAGGGGGTCACTGGTGGGCATCCATCTGAAGCACTGCACACGGCCGCAAAGGGAGACGAGGGCGTCGGGGACTTTAGTTGGGTGTGCGAGTAGTCCAGGGCAGGGCCTGGCCTGGGTTGTGGCTCGGGATGCGCCCCGGCCGTTTCTGTTTCTGTTTCCCTGGCCGAAGCTCCCTTGGACTAGTCAGCCCTAAGCACTGCGCCAAGCAACACCTGCCACTGCTGAAACCCTTTCTTGTTGTACACGTATCTCTTCTGTCCATCTATCGACGCACCACGTCGCCAGTCTTATTCATACAATACAATACAATACACTGCACTGCACTCCTAACCCCGCTCTGCCCCCCTTCACCGCCTGCTGCCTCGTCCTAGCCATCGATGTTTGCGCTCCGGCGACGGCCTGTCCTCTTGCTTGTTGTGCCTGTACCTGGGCCTGAACTCACCATCATCCTCATTCCCATCCTCCTCCACTACCCCCTTGTCCTCTGCTCTTTGTTTCTTGTCTACATCGGGCTGCAGGAACCTATACGTCTCCGCGTCCTTGGCCAGATGCTTCTTCTCCTCAGCCCCATATGTGACATCTCCACCCTTGCTATATTTTGCCCTTGCCTTTGATCTCGGCATGCCCGTGTTGGGCGAGTAATTCACGTTTCCACCCTCGGCCAATAGAAGTCGCATTCGCTGTGGCAGCATCTCCTGCACTCCCTTCCTAATTGAATTTATCACGCCTTTCTGAACCTTCTCAAATCGCCCATCCAGGTCTTGGTTGGATCCAGTCGTTGGTTTGGCCATGACCCACTGGCACACCCGCCCATCGCTGACTGGGTTGATGAGAAACTGGGTTCCTTCGGGCATCTCTTTTAGGATGAAATCCGGGCGCAAGTGCGGGAAGTGGGCATGCATCCACGGCCAGACGGCCGGGTCGCCGGGCATGAGTCTGTTTTCTTTGGATACACTGCCCTGTAATCGAATACGCATCTCGACAGGCGAGCCTAAGTTGATAAATTGATAGGCCCGGTCCATGCACAGCCGGAAATGTGAGACTGGACTCGACTCATTGAAAATAATGTTCTTGAGTCCTCCAAGTTGTCGTCCTTTCTGGGGGCTGTCCAATGAAATCCGGTGCGAGCCCGCCTCCGCAAACGAGAAGTTCTTATATTCATTCAAGACCTCTTCCTGTTCCCCGGCCATAAACTTCTTTGCCATGCCCTTTTTCAATTCCTTCATGCAGTAAAGCATATGCCCTGGCTTGACATAATTATCGTATGCCTCTTGCAACGACACGTCCTCCGCTATCAGTTTATACTTGGAATGGTGCTTATCCGTCTCAAAGAGGTTGATGCGGTTCGGTGATGCACTTGGAGGCTCCAGCTCATACCATGAGAAAGTCAAGGATTTGTGCTGTCCCAACAGTGTCTTAGATCTGGCCGTCTTGTAGAGATTCATACCCCGACGCTGCGTGAGGCATTGCAGAGGAGCGCCACTGGGAGTCGGCCGTGAGCATTGTGGGCGATATAACGCTCCGAGAGCGTGAACCGGAATGCGAATTGGCGGTAGTAGGATTGAGCGAAACTCGACGAGCGACGTTCGCGTTGCTGGACGCATTGTGTTTGCGACTGAAGATTATGCAACTCAATCGCGCGGAAATCGCATTTCATGACTCGTGTTTCGCCCAGGTCACGTGTCTTATGACGTCGTGACATGAACAATCACGGGGTATGTACATCACAATACTACTGCTATAACTTCAGGCTGTGGGCAACATATATGGACATATATAGCACTAGAGCTTACAAAGAAAATAATTTTACATTTCCCCATCAAGTGAACATAAACCTTGGACATGTGGTACCAGGCTCGCTGCTCTTCCGACATTGCATGTCTTGCACCGGAGAAAAGACATCCTCCCAATCAATGCCCAGACTAAAAGTATCATACGGCTGGTCATCATACACCAGTTGCGTAAAGTCTACAATAGGCTCAGGTATGTACTGTGCAGTGTCTTGGAGCGTCATCGGGACAAGAATATGGTCTTGGGAACCTAGTACCGGCGCCACTGGTATCAAATCACTCTGGAATGGTGGTGGGCTGGGCGCAGATGCAGGCGTGGCCTGGTGAGAACTGCCTATAGAGCTAGCACTAGCACGTCGACCGGTATTGAAGTCAGCAGTGTGAGGCGGATGAGACTGGTTTAGTAGATCTTCTTCGCAACGACGGATAATTTGAGCGACACGCTGTAGAAGTTGCTGTTCGACTGGACTAGGCATCTGTTCAGCTTCCATGTGCAGCTCCTCTTGCACGCGACGAAGCAGATCTCTGCGGAATCTTCGTGAGTCTTCACTTGGCGAGTCGCAGTCATAAACTTTTTTTCATGTCAGTACGTCAGGCGGAAATTTGAATAAAGGAAGTGACATACATGGACTGGGAATGTCCGCAGTCGGAACCCCTGGAAAAAGAATATGATAAACATCTCTCCACTTGTCTTCTTCTAGCCTCAGTCCAGTGGTACGTTTTCTCAGCGTCCAGATTGTTTCCCTATCAATGCCGTCAATTTGTTGGGTGGACGATCTCTCACATTGCTGCAACCGCACATGATTCAGTTGCTCCTTGTCTGACTTAAATTTTGCGTAGCAGATTGGACAGAAGATTGGCTGAGCATGTGACCGATATAAATGCTCCTTCATCCTATGGACAGTCGTCCAACCAGGGCCGGGACAAGTACGCCGATTGCGGTATCGATTCGGATCATGCTTGTAGAACGGACATGCGAACCGCGCACCCATATCTGATTCATCCAAGGTTACGATCGACCCCCGCCGCCTCTTATTTGGTCTGTCCTCGTCATCATCCTCTGGCGGCGAACTACCGTCCTGGCGTGTTTTTCTCTTTGATCCGGAGCTCGACGATGTTTTGCGGCTGTGTCCTGTGGAAGTAGAGATTCCGGACTGAGAGCTTGGGGTGTTGTTTCCCGCACACTGTTTGTAAGCTGCATGTCGTAGGCTAATCTCAACCTTCCTGATGATCAAGTCGATGACCTTGAGAATAGACCTCGGTTTTTGAGCGATTGAGGGCCCATTTCTATACTCATCTTCATCGTCACTGACATCCGTGCTTGTGTACATGTCGCAGCTACTGGTTGAAGATATTGAAACGATGGATAGTGCCCTCTGCTCCGGTCGATTGCGTGACGGGAGATTGTCGTTCACCCATCTCTCTATATCTTCGTCTTGAGAAGCTGTCTGGGTTTGCAGAATCTCCGCAGGTCCGTCGCCATAGATAATCTCTAACTCGGGGGACCAAGGAAAGCTTCGCGGAATACCACGGTCCGGGATAAATGTTGCGGGGTGACTTGAGATTCCCCGGTCCGAACTAGCTTTTGCATCATCACTTAAGATGGTTCCCCGTCCAAAGCGCTTTATGGTATCGAAGTTGAGGTGTGTCTGAAAAGAGGTGGGTTTAGAGTTAAGCAGGATACTTGGCACGCGTGGAAATGTCGAGGGAAGTAGGTCTGCTGTGGTGTTAATGATCAAGGCTCTGAGAGATGTACAGACAAGGCGTACGTACCCTGCTCTACCACGGCTATTTCCAAGGGCGAGAGCGGATCCGGATCGCTGTTATAGCCAGAATCTCGGGTTCTCGAAGAGGAAAGCGAGTCCCTTCTTTGGACATGCTTACTCATGCTCAGCTTGGGCAATCTGGTGTGCGAGTTTGTGCACGACGGCATGGTCTCCATTGCGCAGAGATAGCGGTAGCGTTGGACGAGATTGCTCTGAGTCGCAAACTCGGACAGCCAGCATATATGAGAGGCGTCAGCTTGGTCAAGAAATTCATGACGGAATTGGCAATTGCCTAGACGGCTCTCATAAGCGTATGGACCCCATTGCGCGAATGCGCAAAACGTGGGATCAGCGTAGCAGACGCCTCCCGCCGACCCGTCATCAGCCGAACGCCAGGCCTGCACACCAATCAACCACGCAGTATCGATTCTGCCTCGGCTGCATGGACAGCGCAGAATGAGCAATAAGGCGTTGGGTGGCTGTGTAGCATTGATGAGCAAGGTGCTTGTGATACTGGTGGATGACACCTGTAGGCCATTCGAAGCGGGAATGGCGCCACGACTAGCAGCAAAAGAAACAGTCGTGGGGCTAGAACATGGCAAGGCAACCATTTAGGTTCACCTTGTTCATCCAGCTTTACACCGGAATAAATCACACCACCTGCAAAACTCGTCCTACACAAGAGCTGCTCTTTCACGTCATCTTAATTGGCCATAGTCATGCTCCTTGACAGCAGTGTTGCTGTTAAGAAAAAGATGGGCAGTACATCTGTAAAAGCAAGATTCCATGATGTCCAGTCCTCCACAATGCCACACCCAAACCTAGTCCCGAATCACATGCCCAGTATCCCATAGCCAAACCGTCCTTCGGAGAACCGACATCGACACCTCTGTTCCCTTGTTTAGAGGCGTTCTAGATATCATCATCATTATCATCATCACCGCCATCACCACCTCGCCACTACGTCTTCAGCTGCTTTTTAAACAACGGCTTCCGGTAATTCTCAAGTCCAGCCGTGTTCTCAAACCCCACAAAAGGGGAAGGATAGTCATTCTTCATAAGCCTTGCATCCTTGGCCTGAATAGACACTCCCTCGCGTTTAGCAGTCTCGTATAACCTGCCAGGTACACAAGCACCATGTACCTCCATTACCCCCATCTTCTCGAACATCTTGCTGTAGATGGCCTTAAGACGCGTGACTTCATCTCTTTGTCTGCAGTACTTGAAGCCGTAGTCGCGCCGAAGGCTAGCTGGTGGGTTCGCGTTATTGGTATCGTGGATGAATTGCTTCAGACGCCATACCGTGGGACGCTGCTCGGCTGGCGTGGTGAGGAATGTTTCCAGGTGGGGGGAAAGTTCGCGGAAGTTGCCATATCCCTTTGTGTCGAATAGAGTTGCTAGATTACACGTCTCTAGAGTGTGCTGGAGCTCGCGGAAGCTGTCTGGACTGTCTGTTTCCTGGATAAAGACGGCGTAGAGACCTGCAAGTCGTCGCTCGTCTTCTTCAGTCGTAGTGCAGACAAACCCAAAGGAGTACCAGGCGCTTTCGTGTTTTGGAAGCAGGTGGCCACGTGAAGCGGTTTGGATGAGTAGGGCGACTTCTTCCTTAGTTCTAGGCTCGGGCTTGCGCGTTGCTGTCACAGATTCTGTTCGCAGCTGAAGAGGCAACGACGGGGTCCGGCCGCCATGTTGTTGTAAATGTATAGCCTCTTCGAGTTTGCGTGATGGCTGTTGAGTGCGACCCGCAGACGACAATGATCCGTTGCTCTCCGCAGCGTTCTCAAAAGCCTGCGACTTACTGGCAACTGAGACAAGAGTGCTATACGCCTCTCTAGGAAAGCCTAGTTTGCCGGTGAGCACAAACAGCTCATCTGCAAACGAGGCGTCCCTGATGAGGCCGTTCAACCGCTCTTGAAGTTCCGTCTCCGTCATCATGCCAAATGCCAGCATAATCAGTTTATTCATGTCTTTCATCACCTCGGTGTACGCTTGGACATCATGGAAGAGATGAATAATCTGTTTGCCGAGTGTGTGATCGAACTCGCAGTGATCATTGTCAATACCAAAGCCGAACATCTGGGTGACCAAGTCGGCAAGGATGCTCTGATGGGCTTTGAAGCTGCGCTGAAGGCGGTAGATAATAGCGTTTATCTCATCGTATGAAAAGACTAGAAGCGTATCCCACAGGTAATCCGTTAAGTTTTGAAGCGCAGCGTCTGTTCGTGTCAGTGACAAGACAAGCGGGTAGGGAACAGAACGGTCGTACGTACCTGTGGGGTGAGCTGCAATCGCCGCGCATATATTCTCAATTTCTTTGAGTTCCTCTTCTTTTCCGATGCGTGTATGCGGCTTTCGCAGAAGATATCGCTCTCTGAGGCGCTCTAGGATAGACGACACCTCAATTGAATTCATCTTGGTCTATCCCCAATAGTTGTCTAGCCGGGTCGTGTAAGTACTTCTCTGATTTGTCTCGTTGATCAAGTCGTAGCGATCAGTTGAAGTAGTCCCTCCCGCAGGCACCTTCTCGTAGTGAACCCAAACCCCCTCCAACCACTTCGTATCCTACACCCTCAGTCAGTAAATCCCACATCAACCAAACCCATCTTACCGCATACTCACCGCCCAAATCACAACCTCAGCCACCCAACCAACAGCCTCCTACCAACGAAACCGTACCCACGTTCAGAATTCGATGTCGCGGTCAGGCAGGAAAGAGATCAGGTTCGCCTTGATCAAGTCGTTGCACTCGGTGTACGGAGGGAGGAGAGAGAAACAACTCCAATCGCGCCCTGATGTAGTAAGTATCAACCAACCCGTACCCACGTCCAGAATTCAGTGTCGCAGTCAGGCAAGAAAGAGATCCAAGTCCACCTCGATCGCGTCGTTACCCCCATTACCCTCGTCGTACGGAAAGAGAGACACACTCCAATCGCGCCCTAATACAGTAACTAACCTATAGTACCGACGACGGGAGTGCGCTAGCGGCTCCGCCTTCACCTTCGTTTGCACCGGTCTGTGCTATTACTCGCTGAGAGAGAGAGAGCGAGAGGCAGACGATGTGATTTGCGGGGGAATTTCATGGTTGCAAACGGGGTGAGGGCGGGGTCAAACAAGCGGTAGTCGAGTTGGATCAGGATTGGAACGAGGGTTTTCGAGGGAAATAGTGGCAGTGAGGGCGGGAGCGGGAGGTGGAGAGTAGCGGAAGTGGTTGTGCTTATGAGGGAGGGGTGAGAGAGGTCTGAATGAAAATCAGGCTGTATCAAGAGATGAGGTGAGATTAAGAGATGGCATGAGGCTGAAAATCGTGACATGATACGTGAAGATGAGAGATCTTTTTTTTTCTCTTTGACATCTTCCCTAGACGCCCTGGTATAGGGAAAAGATTCATGAATACAATCACAAACAATAAAACATGTACAGTCACTCGTGCTTTGAAATTACTTCTTGTACTGCATCTTTTCTTTCAAATCCAAATGACAATACATCGCGGACATATTTTCTACATTTGTCTCACCCACCAAACCCAAATACCTCCGCTGTACTCAACATACTCATCCTCGTACCCCAAAGCGCGATGGCAATGCTGACAATATCCACGACAAGCAACACGGCGGCGCCAACCATGAATCTCGGGTTGAAGATGCGGTACAGCATCAAATGTCTCCTAAGGTGGCCTGCCCACATGGTCGTTGCCAGATTGATTGTAGCATAGAAGAGAATGTGGGTAGCCACAGCCTTCGCCACGACACTCAACAAGCCCTTCTTCTGCGGCTTAACCTTCCACAAGACAAGGGCGGGGACAGCGACTGCGCACAGGATCTGGGCACCAAAGGTGTTAAGAATGACAAGAATGGGTGTCCATGGGTAGCGAATCTTAGCAAGTGGGATAAAGGCCGATTCCCACTGGATGCTTGAGAGCGTGGCTTGATGGCCTGTTTTGAAGAAGTGGAAAGATCCAAGAAGGCCTAGGACAACGGGGCCGATTGGGGACTGGCGCAAGTTGTTCGTGTCCATTATCTCGAAAAGGGAGAAGAGCTGCCAGACTAAGATACCAATGGCACCAGCTCCCATTGGCTTCTGGAGGAGGGTAATGGCAAGATACCAGATGGTGATGAGAAGGGCGTAGCGCGAGCCCTCAACATTTGCAAATCCGAGAACAGTGACCGCCTCGTTCGGTGCACCATTCGCATCCTTGCTGTCTTTGTCGATGATGACATTGAGGAGAGGCTTCGACCAGTTGTAGATCGAGTACCCAAACGCCATGCTGATGGCCAGTACAATTTGTGCCAGGAAGCGCTTCGTGATGCGGATGACGTTCACCCAGTCAGGTAGCCACTCGCCATCGTCTGCGGCATCTAGAGCCCAATAAGCTGCCGAAAGCATCAGCCCAAAGCGCAATGCTAGCCCTATCCAAAGAGTTGCGTTGTGCTGATAGCTCTTTGTGCCCTCGTAGTAGCTCTTGATAAAAGTAGGAATGAGAATAGCGACAGTGACAGGAATGAGAAGCTGCCATGGTGCAGAAGTAGTGGACAACGCAGAAGCATAGTACGTGGACTTGCAGTAGGGCATTTGCTCTTCTCTGCAAAGCCTTGAGAAACTGGCGACTCTTAGCAGGGCGGTGAAGAGAATAGAATGGTAGGCGCCCAATGTTCGGTCTGCAAGGCGCCTTTGGCGGAGTGAGGAGATGAGTGCAAGAACGCCAAATGTCGTCAAAAAGTGGAGCAAGATTTCGTCTTCCCAGATTGTGAACGAGTTGGCTGCAAAGCCGGCAGAGAGTGCAAAGGTGAATACAACGCTTGCCCAGCCCCAGATGGTGTTGGGCATAAGAGGCATCATGCGGTAGCTAAGGACATAGAATGTAGATGCGCAGCCAATGATTCCAGAGAGCGCAGAAGAGAGGACAACCACATGCGATCTTGCATCCTCGGGCATGAAGACGGTGATACCAACACCGACGATACCTCCCAAGGCCAGACCAATGGCACCTCGAGTGAAAAAGACGGGTGTAACCTCGGTACGGTCTCCATGCAGAATTCTAGCGTAGAGCGCGAGAATGATCAGACTAGACGCTAGGATCGTAACACCACTTATCATTCTTGGAATGTCGAACCTGGCCCAAAGGTCCCGACAAAGACTGAGGGTGTCGTGTTGGTAAGCAGAGAAGGCGTCGTAGACTTGGCGCATTTGCGCACTATTCGCCTTAGACTTTCCGAGTGAGTTCCATGCGTCATTTGCACTCGTCCATAGAGAGAGCGAGGTAGCTCTGGCACTATCAGGAATACCTCGCGCCTGTGCGTATTCATGCTGGTATTTGTGGATCTGTGCAGCGGTCATGCGGTTGACAGCTGCGAGGTTCGCGAAGTTGTCTCCTTTCTTTCCAATGAAAGCTTCCTCAATCGGCTTGCCAAGGTTGTTGAATGGTATTGGCATACCTAGCAAGAGTGAAAGAGTTGGAACAAGGTCAATCTGGCCGACCGGCCGGACATGAGCGTTGCGCGGAGGAGTGACGTATGAAGGGTCGCTACGTCCAAAGATACCCTTTTTGGAGTACATCCAGAGAGCAGCCTGAATCTCATCGTCCGACTCTCCTCCGTGATCTCCCTTTGCATCCATGCCATGGTCACCCATGACTACCAAAAGCGTATCATCGTCAATCTCATTGATCATGCGACGGAAGACATTGTCCATTTCATTCAGTTTCGCAGTCATAGCGGGGTGGTCGGGACCGTAACGATGTCCAGCATGGTCTACGCCCAGGTAGTGGCCGAAAATGACATCCCACTTGCTTGCATTCTCAGCCTTTAGCAGTGGGAAGATGTGCTCGGTGACGCCATTGTCTACTGTATGCAGATCCCAGACATTGAACGAATCGTACGCGTGCGTGAGATTTGGCTCAAAATAGTCGGCGAAAAGTGCATGCCACGTGTCGTCTCCAAGATGCACCAACCTCTTGCTTGCGTTCTTCAGCTGACCAACAATATTGTCTTCATGAATTGCCTGACCTGCAAAGTTGCTTCCCACATCGATAAAAGTTGGCAATGTGCCCGTTGTGAGCCCCTTTAATCTCTGCATCGTGGCCGTTGGCGGATCCGCGATGAAGGGAAGGAGAAAGGCATTCTCAGGCTGATTCATAGCCGTCTCGTACAGGACAGGAAACGCATTATGGAAGTGGCGTGGAGCAACTGGCGGCCACTCAGAGGGGTCCACAGCAGCATCAACCAGATTGGCAGGTTCGAATTGAGCCTTGTAAGGCACGGTAAAATCATATCTGAGCGCATCGACAATGATCACAACCGCCTTTTCAAAGGTCTTGGGGTGCCAGCATCCCTTCTCTGGATTGCCCGTAGTATACGAGTTTGCTGCGTCGATAGGAGGCAACGCACATTCCGACTTGTGGTCGAGAACCAATCGCGTAAGGAGGAAACCGCTCGTGAATAGGTATATACCGAAAACGTGAAGTACACTAGCGCGCGTCAGATAGATTCGCAATACGCGCTCTCTCCAAGCCTCAGTGGAGCTGAACCGAACTGCACTTACAGCATGAAACAAAAGAAAGCCACGAGGATACCGTGCGAGGCCTTGAAGTGTACCTGACTAAGCTTTTTCACCTTGTCTGGATCATGCACCATAGTTCGCGGAGGCTGTGCCGCTTGTTGTTGTTGTTGCTGCTGCTGCTTTTGCGGTGCATGCTGTTGACCTTTTGGAGTGCTTTTCTGACCGGTGATCTCGGACAGCGGAGTAAACACCTCACGGTTCGCCATGGCGACGGAAGAGAGGAGGCCAATCGGCGAATACTAAATGCCAATCGAAATCTGAAGGAAGTTGAGATGGCTCAATGGGCCTCAAGGAGCGACAGAATCCATGAGAAGAAAGTTGTTGCGGAGTTTACGCGAGTGAGGGTTTGTTGCGGACATGCTAGTAGAGTGGATCGTCGTAATGCCAAGCCCGCACCAATAATACGCACCTGCCATCGAGGTGCACGACCAGCATGGCTGGCCGAGGATCTGATACACTTTGACTTGCTTTTCAGATATTTTGTTGAAGAAGGATGATCAAAGACGACACGAAACATGGCAATGGCAAACAGCGAGCACTGACGTCAATCGAGGCTCATTGGTTGATTGCCCTGGTGTTGCTTTGTCAGAACTCGAGGACATCACGGGACAGCAGCAGATGTGGTTTTTTTTATCGATAATGGCTTGTATTGGCTCTCATGCTGCTCGATGCAGGAGCTCGAGAGGAGTTAAGATAGCATACATTAATGAATAAGAGTTATATAAGAGGTGCAGAACCTCGTTGAAGAGATGGCCAAATCATGCAGGGGGGTATACAACTAATTGGCCAGTCAACTCCGAGAATATACATGTGTAGTGCCACCACCGTGCTTGTCATGCTTCAGAAAGGTTGAGCGAAGCTGGCATTCAGCGCGGTATAGCCGTCATCAAAGTCAAGTCGGTCATAGCCAAGTGGCTCGAGGGCCCGGGCTGCCAGACCTGTTCGAGGGCGATGGCCTGGTCGGGTGATTATCGTTTAGGGTTGGAGTAAAGATTATGAGTAGTACTTGTCGTCCTTCTCCTTCAGGCCGCCCATACGATCCAAGTCGAGGGAATCGAAGCGGTCTGATGCGTCCTGCTGGTAGGCTGGGAGGTCCTCGCGCAGAGGCTCGAGGCCAACGCTGTGGTCTCCAACACGAACGACGACAACACGGCCAGAGTGCTGCTTGCCCGACTCGTCAACCTCGTCGGGGAAGGTGATGCGAATCTCGGGCACTGGGCTGGTGGGGCTGTCCATGAGGGTCTGCTTTTCTGAGTAGGTGATGACGGACTCGCGGCCTTTGTATGGCATGGCGGTGATGGTCAAGTGGTTGATATTTGATTGACGCTTCTCGTAGATGGGGAGTTCTGGGGTGGCTTGTTCCATTTTCCTTGCGCGACGGAGGCTCCGTAGGAAGAGCAGGCCTGTGATGCTTGCTACGCCGAGCAAGGCCAACATGACGAGGGTGATGAGGAGCGTCAGATGGGTGTCGCTGAGGCTGTCGTCCTCGTCGCGCTTGAATAGGTTGATGTTCATCATTGTGATTGGATTTGGTTTAGTTTTGGTTTTGTGTTTAGTTTGTGTGGTCGTTAAGGCGTATCGATGGCGTGCAGAGTGCTCAGTGTGCGATGGCTGCGATTAAAGAATGCAGTCGCTGGGTGTGAGTTAGTATCCATCGCTCTAGGGGTGGTGGTAGTGTTGCTGGCGCAGTCATGATGTCGTCGCTGTCTGGCTGGAGATGCTTGGCGAGACGCTGACGGATGACGAGCGGACAGTTTCGGATACGCACCTAAGAGAGCACCGGCGTTTCGCAGGTGAGTAGATAGGGAACGAGAGACACAAGTAGGAAAGAGCGTAAGTGCGAATACCGCTGAAAGAGTGAAGCGATGATTCGGCGTAGGCAAAAAAATGATTGAACAATGGGCAGGACCGTAGGAAAAGGTGGGCAAAGAGATCAAGGCAAGAGGGAGGAGACGTTATTTTGACGGCGCAGGGCAAGAAGCGCCTCGCAGTCTGCCAATGCAGGTACACAGAACGTCGACTGCTAGGCAGCCAATCACCCGTCCGCGCTAGAACGCGTCCCCCTACCGGACAGACCAAAAAGGCGAAGGAGCCGCGCGCTAGGCCCAGAAGAAGCATCGCAATAAAGACGTCTGCACCATGCCCATCCTCTCTGGCTCTTAATTTGGCATCATTATCAGAGCCAGTCGTTCGTCCCGCCGTGGCCACCAACAAAAAAAAGGGGAGCATGGCGTTTGGCTGCGCGCCTAACGACGTCGTAGGGTTTGGGCTGCATGCACCGAAGCCCAGCGGCGGCCAGGACAGGATAGGACACGAGGAGGGCCAGAGGGCAGCGCAAGCAAGCAAGCAAGCAAGCAGACGGACAGAATGAGATGGACAGGATGAGAGCATCAAACAGCAATAACAAACGAATCGCGTTATGGCCGGGAACATCTGGGCAGTGCAAGGAGCGGTAATACGCACAACGGGGGGGCCAGCGGCTAGGCGAGAGGTCGAGACTCTGCACGGTGGATCGTGAGTGGATCGCGAGGGTCAGCACGTCCGCGCTGTGCTGTTCGGTTGAGGAGAGGTCCCCAGACTATGTACCTTGGGACTGGCAGGTTGCATGTTGCGTTAAGCTCATTGGGACCGAGACGTTATGCGTTTGAGTCGGTAAATGACAAGAGCAACAGATCCAACGGCGCCGAGAAGCGGGACGCATTGCATTGTCATTGTTGCTTGAGACGAACGTCTTGCGCGGGCTGTGGAGCGATACAGCATCATCCATGGTGATAACGCGCGGCACAGCAACGCGCGGATGTATGGAGCGAACAGCTTGACAAACGTCACAGCCGACGGGGTGCAGGGAGCGCCATGTGGTGATGGGACTAAAGCGACTTCATGGGCGTCTCCCCCTGGGCTCAACAAGCCGGGGCTGCTATAGTTGCTATAGGCCTTGCTAGGTGTATGCCTTGCCCTGTCTATTATTTTTTGGGTGCCCGGGGCCGGCTTTTGCTCTATACTCGAGATACCTAGGCAGTTTATCATAACAGTTGGGGTTTATCGGTAGCACGCGAGCAATGGCCGGATTCCCCGGCATGGGTTGCAGCCGGAACCGCGAGTAAACATTGCATGGGCGACTGCGTTGTTTGATGAGTCTTGGGGAAGCTTGATGCTTTTGCCCCCTTCTCGACGCCAAGTGCCTGCCTTTTTGGAGATGCGACGCTTGCAGCTTGAGCTCCTGAGGCCCGTCGCAACTTGGGCGACGAAAAGCAGAGCCAGCACTTGGCTAACAAGGCCATGAATAGCGCTGACAATGTGCAACACTGTTGGGGTAGACACGATACGAAAAGACACTTTGCAAGGACGCGGGGGAAACCCAGGGTGCAAGCTGTGTAGGCGGCATTTTGATCCAACTAGGGAGGACAAAAAGTCGCGCATCAAAGTTTCCAGAATGACATTCGCCGGCCCGCGTTAGGGTACGTAAGTGAGTAAGTAGTGGTGACGCTCGGCCGGGGGGGGGGCTTATTGTGCCACAGTGGCCGTGAGTAGTAAGGTACATAGATAGCAGCAGCAGCAGCAGCAATTGTAGCGGTAATGGACAGACAGCAAGCGGTGTGAGTGTGTACATGAGGTATGGGTGTGGGTGCGTGTGGGTGCGAAGCTTCTTTGAGACGAACCACAAAGTGCGACGGAAAAGGAAGTGCAGTGTGTGCGGGAGGGCGGGGTTAGCAGCTTCTTTGTCACGTCGGTGGGCGGGTGCGCTGGAGGCATTGCCAGAGTGCCAGCACAGCACAAAGGCTCGCACAAGGTGGAGAGGCGGATGGGCTCAGTGGACGCCTTGGATGCAGCGTGCAGCCCTGCAGCGCAAACCCGCAGCTATGAGGCGTTATATTGCAGGGAGCATCGTCAGCGGAGGGCAATCCATGGACGGGGCAGGTCACTAGGCCACAAAGACTCTGGCCGGGCTGGCAAAAGGGTAGGTAGCGAGTATGACGGTGGCTTGGGTTGGGATGATTGCGTTTGCAAACGTGTGTGCAAGGGAAGGGGAGTGAGTGGGTGGGTGGTGCCGGATGCAGGTGTTGTGTGTGTACGTGTAAGAGAAGAGAGCAAGCAAGCAAGCAGGCCGAGGCTGAGGCTGAGTGATTCTCTGGTGTATGTAGTGCTTGTTTGCGGCTGGGCGATGGTCTCTTACTACCATTTGCTAAGTACCACTACTACTACTACTACTACTACTACTACAACGGCAAGTACATGCTCTCTCTCCCCCCAAGACAGAAGCCCGGCCACATGACAGGGCAGTGGTGAAACACGCTCGGGCTGGACATGATGCTCCACGACTCCTGTCCATGCGAGGGGAGTGTCTCAGGCTGCCAGACGGGGAGCGCGCAACACAAAAGATCGGCCGGATTGCGCTGCCGCATCGTCCCTGGCTCGGTCTTGGCACACACGAGCGCATTGCAAACCCAGAGTGACAGACACGACGCCTGCGCCCGCTACCGTGTTCTTCTAAGACGACGACGACGCCATCCCCCCCAGCGCTGTCTCTTCAAAGCCTTGCCTGCTTTGCCACCACTACCACACAAACCACCCTCACCACCACCCTCTCTTCCCAAGGCCCTGCAGTCCAATCCTGTCTGGCCCATTCTTAGCGTACCCCAGCGGACGCCAAACTTAGCTGCCGATCCCATCGTCGCCAGGGCCCAGCAGGTCGCATCTTCAGCAAAAAGACGTCTTCTGCCTCTGCCCCCCCCTCCCCGACGCCCACGTCTGTGCTACGACCAAACTCCCTCCCTCTGCGAACCGCACACAATCCCACACAACCTGCCCTGCCCGCCCCCGCTGCACATATAAGAACCAACACCGCCCGTCCTGGCCACCCTCCCGCCCTTGCATCCCCGCTACACTGGTTGTCGACCCTGATGCGTTCCCCGCCTGGCGCGCAACATCATTGCTTAGAATCGCCCATCTACTCTGGCTAGAAAGAAGCGACCAACACCACCACCACTATTACCACCACTGCCATTCGCCAGCCCTACAACAACCCTCCCACTCTACCCAGAGTTCGCTTCCCCACGACCCACGGACGGCCCCCCCCAGCTTACCCAACGACTACGCTCATATCACCACATACTTTTGGTCTTTTTTCTTTCCTACCACCACTACTACTACTCTCCTCTTCTTCGTCTTTACTGCTGCCACGACCTTGTACACACCTTCTTCACATACTTCTCATTGTGCCCTCCGCTGTGCGAGTCATAATACAAGCGTCGGTGTGCCCAAACTCTCAGCAACTGCCCTGCCTGTGCTGACGCCTGAGCCTTAGTTCGACCCTGACCCATCCACACACACCCACCAGCCACTCTGCGCAGCCTCGACAATCCACTACCCTAATAAACCCCGCAGCCCGCTGCTCGCATATATACACCGCATCCCCTCGCCCCGCCAGTGTACATGAACTCCACGCCCAGCGACCTTAGTCGTAATATGGCCGCCATGACGGGCAATGTGCGTAGCTCCTTCCCCGCCACTCGCCCTGTCCACACTAACCCAATCCCCCAGACCCGATCGCGCGACTTTGGCAATGCCATCTCGCTCAACGGCACAGACGCCGACCGCACATCACACTCGTCCCCATGGGGCAACAGCATCTGGAATGCCCCGATTGGTGCCTTCCCCTTCGGCTCCGCGGGCAGAGACACCTCGCGCCCTCTAGGTATGCCACCGCAGACAAGTCATTGTGCAAATGCCCTTCACACCACTGACACATGTGCAGACAACGCTGCCCTCCCCGACGGCAAGACAGGCTCAGGCTCCCTTGTGGCCAACTCGGACACCGAGTGGAGGCCAAGCGCTAGGCAAGCCTGGAGCGAGAAGCCAGCCGGAACCATGTCACAAGCCAGAAGCTCCGCTGTATCGCCGGCAGGAAAACGGCCAATTGCGCAGGCGCAGCCAGGCCAGCCTTACGCTGATAATACCTCATCTGGTCTATTTGGTGCATCTCGAGGCTCCCTCTCCAAGACCATCAAGCCCTTTTCAGAGACTGCAAATGCAAACTTCGCCTCACGCCCAATTGACGGGCTTAATGCCAGCTTCACAAACTTTGGCTTTAGTCAGCCAGAGACAAACGCCCACCGCCCCGACACCGGCGTCACATCATGGCCTGACACTGCCTCAGTCCACTCTCCCAACGACGACCGCCGCAGCGTGGCTAATTCCGACCATGTCACATCTTCGAGCGGAGCTCCTTCGCGAAGCGGAAGCCTGCCACCCTCGCGACATGGCGCCGAGCCGAGCCAGTTCAACCAGACCATTGACGCTTTCTCGAGGCTCTCGCAAGCTCCGCGCCACGGCTCATCCTTTTCTCTTGCCAATGGTCGCACCTTCCAAGAACGAAGTGGCTCAATGCAGAGCGATTCATTCCAAGCACTCGGCAGAATGAACTACGAACAAGAACCAGAGTCGCGCATGGCCTCACACAGGGCTTCTATGAGCACCACCAACATTCCTTCGGCCTTTGTGTCTGGAGAGGAGCTTGG